CATCTGTCCTTAATCCATCATCGCGTAAGCCAACTAACTTCCATCAATTCAATTGATCATGGATCTGAAAATTTAGCATAACATACTATGAGTATAAGAAATACTCAGTAAGATACCATGCTTGGATTTTTATCATGATAATACTACACAAAAGAATGCAATCAAACACATACTTGCACATTCCGGCTTGCCGGTGCCCTTCGGACTTGTCCTAAGGCATAAATAGATATCTAACTTTGTGGACTTGTCCACCTTAATCATATTATGGTTTTTCATGCATAGCTTAAGCATAAATATTACCATTAAAATCATAACTCTTAAGCATGAAAGTATCTTACCGTAAAACTTGATGATCTTTGTTTGAAAAGTAAGTTGAAAGTGTTAAGCTCACTTCTTTTTCTTCCTTCCTTAAATTTCGGTTTTTGGCTGTCTTTTCAAATGTATAAGTGTTTTGTAGAAATGAAAGAAATCTCTTTCTCTATGGCATGGATAGGGATATATTTATACTTGTATAAGAGGATAAGTATAAAAAGATATTTTTATTTTTTATTAATTGTTGTGGCCGGCTTTGACCCTTTTTTTTTTTTTTAATACTTTTACATTTTACCTTTACACATGTTTAGTCTATTGTCTAAGTGTATGGTGATGATGGATAACAAGTGGGTTGATTATAGGGTAATAAGTGGCCTTAAAACCTAGATTTACAAAGGAAGCCTCTTATCTTTTCAACTAATATAATCTAAACCCTCTAACTTTCATTGTTAACAAAGTGTACCTCAAATTTAAACTTGTATCCAACTTACATATTCAAAAAATTGTAGATTGTAAAATAATCTAATCATTTAGTCAATTGAAGTCCTAACAAAATAATCCACTTCATTAAAATCCAAACTTGCCTTAAGTTTCGACTAACTAATAATCACTTCATGCATACACAACCTTTGACACTTTATGCCTACATTCATTAACTACCTCTAACATTAACCACTACAAAGGTAGTGTCCCCTTTTACCTTATGGCCAAAAATAGTATTGAAAGTTAAATCGCTATCCCAAAGAAATTTAAACGAGCATAAAATTTCGGAGTATTACATCCCTCCCCCCTTAAAAAAAAATTTCGTCCTCGAAATTACCTTGAACTTAGTTGAAAATTTCTGGATACTTGGTCTTGATTTCCTCTTCTCTTTCCCATGTTGATTCTTCGACATTATGGTTCCTCCATTGGACTCTTACTAACGGAATTCCTTTTGTCCTTAATTGCTGGATTCTGCGATCCAATATTGCTACTGGTTTTTCCTCATATATCATGTTTTGTTTGATATCCAATGGTTGATAACTAACCACATGATTTGGATCTGACACATATTG